AGAAAAGGAAAACCTAGAGGTAGTCGTTTTGACCCGGCACCAATGGCGGTGCTCTGCGTTTAGTTGGGACTCCGCATTCCGTGGACACTCAGGAAGGAGGCCAGCTGGTTCTCCCACGGGGGCTCCCCTTCCCTGTTTCCTGTGTCTGGGGGCGGCTCTCTGAAGACAGGGAGTGGGGGTCCAATCATCAGGGGACTGATTGTTGTCTTGGGAGAGAAAAATGGTGTCAGACCAGAGCCCCAAGACGCAACAGGACTTGAGTAACCAGTTCTTTCAGTCCTGCTGTCACTTTGGTAAGTGGAGTGTCAAAATCCATGACACGAGGCTTTCTAAAATAGACATTTTAAGCAACTGCTGGAAGGGGGCAGCGTGTTGGGGTTGGATTATGAGCTTGCTTCAGAGCAGGGCTGCATCAGGGTTGGGTAAGCTTGCCTCACTGTGCTGGTGAAAGCGGAGATCTTCCTTCCTGGAAGGGTCTTGGCAAACAGCATGAAATAATGTTATTTATCATGTTGCAGTCACCCCTTGCCAAACTAAGGTGAAGCTTGGGGTAGCTTGAGGCTCTAACTTTACTGTTTCTGAGAAGCACCCTTGGGCTCTCCTAAGTGCTCACCTGTGCTATTTCAGCAGACTCCCCACAGACCGTGTGCCTGGAGCCTCACTCCTATCCCAAATGCATCCCATAAAACACAATAAAGAAACTTCTATGAAATGCAAATGTGATTACATCGTTGTCCTCCCTGAAGCCTTCAGGGCTCTGCCCCCATTCTGCTGGATGGAACGTGAGCTCCTTGGCCTGGTACCTACGCTGTTCTCCGCTGTGTCTCTCACCTGTCCCCATCACGCCCCCAGTGCTCCTCATTCCCACTCAAACCCCACACCTGCCTGTTTCAGGCCTTTGCATATGTAGCCTCTAGAAGCACCTTCATGTTTATCCTGGGATGACTATAGGTGCCAGCCTTGATGTCACACTGATACTCGTCCCTCCATGGAGATGGCTCTAGGGAAGGGCGTCCTTCCTACCTCAAAGTCCCACCGAACTTCGCACCTTCCTGGCCTCTCATTTCCCACATCAGAATCACTGGAGGAGCTGTCTTGTCTCCCCGCAGGCCTGAGAGCTCCTTGACAACATGGACAAGGCTTGTTTATCACGAAGGCCCCTTAGAGCATGATACCGTGCCTGACACACAGTAAGTCTGCAGTTAATGGCTGTTGAGTGAATGAGAGGACACACAAGTGAATGGACAAGTGAATTCATTTCTCCCCCAAGTTCTGGGGCCATGCCACCACCACCCAGGCCCTGGACCACATTCAGAGCACTGTCAAGTATCTGGGTAGAGTTCAGCAGCTCAGACCACGGCTGGTCCTTCCTCATCCCTCCCAGGAAGGCATCCAGCACTTCAGGTTCCACTGCTAACCCCAGACTGGAGGGAAACTCATTGTTGCAGGAATGGTTGACAATCTGATGACAGGTTGTCTCTGGTTCTTTAGTCACCACGATGCTGGGAAAGTCCTCAAGGGTCATGTTTCCCCAAAAGACTCATTAATCACAGAAAGAGCTACTGATTCTCACTCGGATTGGGAATCTTAACCTTGACATGGACATTCTTGCTCTCTCTCTCTTTTTCTTTTTTGACACAGAGTCTCTTTCTGTTGCCAGGCTGGAGTGCAGTGGTACAATCTCGGCTTACTGCAACCTCCAACTCCCTGGCTCAAGCGATTCTTCTGCCTCAGACTCCCGAGTACCTGGGATTACAGGCACACACCACCAGGCCCAGTTAATTTTTGTATTTTTAGTAGAGACGGGGTTTCACTATGTTGGCCAGGATGGTTTCCATCCCCTGACCTCGTGATCCATCCACCTTTGCCTCCCAAAGTCTTGGGATTAAGGTGTGAGCCACCGCCCCCAGCCTGCTTGCTCTCTCTATCTGAGCAAAGAAGCCCACTCCACTCTACTCAACCAACCAGGTTTTTTTTTTTTTTTTTTAAATGAAATACGCTAATGGGAAGGAAGAGTTTAAGTTACTTGATGAGCTCTGTTCAACTATGTTTAAAGAAAATTTCACAGGGTGAAAGTAGCTTGCTGTCAGATCTTCCCCCATGGTCTGAAACAATCACCTACATGCTGAATTACTAGAGACAAGGCAAATGGAAGAGCCCTTGGTACCTGAGGAGGTCTCAAATCATCCTGCTGCTCAGCTGCTCTGCTCTCTGCCAGCCTCAGGTCTCCAGACAGCTGGCATCCCCCAACCCTAGTTCCTGGGAGCCACCCCCACCTCACATCCACATTCAAGCAAAGCACCCAGTTCTGCTCTAGAACCATCCTATCTTCACTTGTTCATCCACAAATGCTCACTGAGAGCTTGGTCCATGCTGGGATCTGGAATATGGGGAAAATCAACCACAGTCCCTGCTTTTGGGGGCTCATAGTCTTGGCAAATGAGAGGTTACAACTCAGTATTTGAAGTGCAATGGTGGAATTATCAGAGAGTTCTGTGGGCCTGGAGGAGGAAGGCCCTATATTCTTGAGAAGGGTGGATGGCGAGGAGGCAGTAGCACTGGCTCTGAGGCTTGATGGACCCTAAGACTTATAAGAAACACCAGGATGGAGCACAGTGTTTCTGGTGCAAAGGTGAAGAGGCTGGAGAAAGCATGGATGTAACTGAGGTAGGCTGTTTTGAAGAAGTGGTGGAATGGACACATGGATGGGAGGACAGATGATGAGGGGTTGGATTTATTTTGTGTCCTCAAAGGAGGGAAAATAGGACCAATGCTGGGTGGGCATGAGGAGATGGATTTTGTCTCAGTGTAATGAGGGACATTCCAAGTGTCACTCCCAAAAGAGGACACTCTCCTTTCCTGGAGGAATTCAGGCAAGGTTGGGTCAACCACTTGGCAGGGATGTTGGCGAGAATCACTCTAGGGTGTGGGTGGGACAGATTGGATTAAATCAATAGTTTTCACTGTTTTTTCAAGACAAATCTCTTTCTTCACATCAAATTGGTCTGATTGAACAGAGGGTTGGAGGTGCCCTCAGATTCCCTCAACTTGCTCCTCCTTACCTTCAGGTTTGAGATTCTATAATGCTAATATAGAAGCCTTCCATTTGCAAGTTTTGATCTCCTCTTGCCTTTTTTTTTCCCTGATACCATCCCTTGAGAAGAGAGCATGGAACACATGAGAAATTTTAGAACATTAAATAGACAACATTTGTTGAGAACCTTTTATATAGCAGCCACTACTCTAGATGCTGGGAATAAAGCAGAAAAAAGACAGATTCCATGGACATTTCTCTCTTGGAGTTATCAGTTTAGAATAGGCAGAGTCATAAACATATGTAGGCACATTGTGACAAGTAATGGTGGGCAGAGGGCCTAGGGGGAGCACTTACCCCCCTACTGGAAGCATCTGGTCTCAGGCCCTCCAATCCCCAGGATGCTTCTCTCTCCCCGGTACCAAGCTGTGTTCAGAAGGGGATGAAGACAGTGACTCCTCCCTGGATGTGAGCACGGGATCAGAAGGCTGTCAGAAGATGAGTGTCCCCAGCTGTCAGGTCCTTAAGTCACATACAGAAGGGACTGGTGAGGGCTTCTAGACTCTGATGCCTAAGCTCTCAACCAGAGACAGTTCCTGGAAACATCTTCATACCCTCAATTGGGAGCCCTTAAAAGCCTGCACCCAGAGCAGAGCCCCGAGGGTCTTAGAGCAGGAATCTGCAACAGGCAGGTTGGGGGCACAACCATAGCCACGCTGTGAGGGGAGGGCTGAAAACCACCCCTGGCAGCTCTGTATCTTCCTGCTCTTCCCTGGGGAAGGAGCTGGGGAGGTGCGGCCCCTGGAGCAGATGTGACTCAAGCTACTTTTCGTACTGAACTGTTTCAAACAACTCTGTCACTGGTGTGACTTTGGACTAGTCTCTCTCCATGATACACCTTGGTTCTTTTGGCTTATGAAAAGGGAGAGTAGACGACCACTAGTCATTTTCCAGCTCCCCTAGATCCTAATTCTGCGAATCTTCTTTCTGCTGAGGGACAGGGGTCAGAGGACCTTGATCTGGACCCTGGTTTTTGGAAGGCCCACCTCCGCTGGTTATAACCTAGGAAAGGGACTTTAGAGCCAAAGCGCAGGAAGATGGCAGAAGAGTCCCTGAAGCGAGCGCTTGGTCCGGGGCAGCGTGAAGAAGAGCAGCAGCCCTGGGCAGCTAGGGCCAGTCCTGGGAGTAAGATTTGCATAGAGAAGTGGATACTTGTGCTGGCTCCAGCTCTCAGCTAACCCCCAGAAAGGACAGCTGGCCCTCAAAACTTCAAATCAGAGTCTTCAGATCCCCAGGCTCTCCGGGCCCAAAGCACAGACTCTTTATGGTAGGCACTGAGTCTTTTAGCTGCAGAGCGAGGAGTGAAGCTCATTTCTTCACTCTGTCATCCTGTTGAGACTAGGGTGAGCATAGGGCTAAGCTCCCAGATTCCCACTTATGTGAGCACCCTGTCAATTAGGGTGGCAGCTCTGTTAAGAGAGACACAGTTTCTCTCTTGGATCCAGAAAGAGTCTGAGGGCAAACACACCAGATCTGTCCTTGTTTCCACTACCTGAGTGCCAGCATTCCTCCCCCGACGTGGCGCTATACTTTGAGAACAGAATTCCATTAGGAGAGAGAGGGCTGTGTAGACTGCAGTGGGTGAAGACAGGGTTGGCTGGTTGGGGAGGTAACTGGCACATCAAGGGGAAAGGATATGCCCTTTTGCTTCCTAGAGTGTACAGTGACAAGGGCCATTTGACAGGCTGGATGGAGTGTCTGAGACGGGGCAGGGTGCCTAAAGTCAGAGGTGAGGACATGCTCAGGGAGGTGAGCCCATGGGCTCAGCACAGATCCAAGTTTTGCTGCCTCTCATTTTGTTTTACTGAATGAGGGGGCTGAGCCACAGATAAAGACAGGGCCATTGAATGTCCAGAGCCCTAGGAAGGAAGGGCTGGAGAGGACATGGAAGAAGCACACAGAGCACTGACTTGGAGGAAGACTTTATTTGCCCTTAGCCCCTAGCCTCACAGCCAAGACAGTTTGGCATAACAGGAAGATGAGTGTCAGGCAGGGGCCCAGGTTGGGCAGTGGCAGGGTGGCCTGGCCTCCTGGTTAGTGGCAGTGGCCATGGCCTTTTCCCTCCCCGAGGCCTGGCCCATGGCAGTGGCCGGGGCCGTGGTCATTCTTGTGCATATGCTCGTGGGAGGCCCAGGTTAGTCTTCCCATGAGCATGATGAACTCCTCGAAGGTCAGCTGCTTGTCTGCGTTTGTGTCCAGGTCCTCCAGGATGTGGTTTATGTCCTGTTCGTTCCTCTTCTCCTTCTGTGGGTGGGGAGAGAAGACTGTGAGGGCTGGGTGTGGCCAGGGGTGGGGGGACCAGGAGCATAGCACATTTGCTGGCAAATATACAGGGAAGTCTTGCCCTGGGACTCAATTAAAAAATTAAGAATGGCCGTGGGCTGAGTGCTCATGATGGAGCAGACGCTGAGCATGCACCAAACACCCTCCGGTTTATTCCCTGCATGGGCCTGCAACTTGGGTGCTGGTTTTCTTTTCTTTTTTTTTTGACAGAGTTTTGCTCTTGTTACCCAGGCTGGAGTGCAAGGCGCCATCTCAGCTCACCGTAACCTCCGCCTTCCGGGTTCAAGCAATTATCCTGCCTCAGCCTCCAAGTAGCTGGGACTACAGGTGCGCGCCACCACACCCAGCTAATTTTTGTATTTTTAGTAGAGATGGGGTTTCACCATGATGACCGGGATGGTCTCGATCTCCTAACCTCGTGATCCATCTGCCTTGGCCTCCCAAAGTGCTGGGATTACAGGCGTGAGCCACCGCACCCGGCCTGGTTTTCTATTTATAGAAGAGGAAGCTGAGTTCCAGGTACCTTCCCCGGGTCACGGCATGAGTAAGCCTGGAAATGTCACCTCATTTGGTCCTCATAACAACTTTGACAGCTAGGTGTGATAGCTTCCTGGGGGAAGACTTGAAACCGACGACCTAGAGAGGACCATTAGTTTTCCCAGCTTGACTGCTCAGGGCATGCAAATTCAGATCTGACTTAAGAGGCCAGTTCCACTCCCATCCCTCCCCTGCCCTTCCTTCCCTTCCCTCTGTAGGTTACCAATTAGTGAAACTCATTTCACGAAACACAGCGAGGGGGAAGCACCTGGAAAAACTAGGTGTGGGCAGGGGAGATGGAGGGAGAGAGAGCAGAGTATGTGCTCCGTTGACCTTCAAGGGTGTGATAAAGTATAGAAGGGGATACATCAGGGGAGGTGGAAGACCCAGGCGGGGCACAAGAGAGCACGGGCTGGTTCCAGCTCTGCCACCCTCTGGTTGGGTCACCTCACTAAGTCCCCTCCCAGGGCCTGCGGGGCAGCCAGCCAATGCGAGCACTCTCCTGCGCAGCCCTTCCACGAGGCTCTGCTTCCTTTCCCACAGCATCGCTTTGCTTCTGGAGCGGGGAGTCAGGTGTGGGGTGGAGTCAGGTGTGGGGTGGAGCGGGCATAGGGGGTCACACAGAGGAGAGCTTCGCCATGCAGCCTCTCCACTGGGCACTCTCATGTCTACCCCACCCAGCATCCTGTCTGCCCAAGGCCTCCACCTATGGGGAACTGTCAGGATCCCTAATACCTCTGAAGGCTGCAATTCTCCACCTTACCAAGGTGGAGGGAGGGGCCCTGGGAGGAGTGGGGACCTACGCCAGAATGTCTGGCTCGGGAAATGGAACTGAGACTGAGACCCATGTGTTCCACCCTTTTTAATGCGGGTCTCTGTTTCCCCACTTTCCCCAAATTTGGAAACAAAAAGCCTGTTGGAAGTGCTCAGCCTTTTCCTTAGAACTGCCTGATCGCTTCTGGAACAGGGGAAAAGCCTCCCAGTTCCCTGAGTGCTGTGCCAGGTGCTCTTCACGTGCTGCTTATGCATTGGCTTTCTCCCGCAGACCCTCAGGACTACAAAAGCCTTCCAAGTCTTCCACCCCAAGTTCCCGCCTGAGGCTTAGGGTCTCCTCAGCTTTGTGCCAAGGGTCATCCTCAGGGGTTTCCCTTGCCAACATTAAGGGCTCAGCTCAAATGTCGCCTCCTCAAAGTGGCCTTTGTCACGTACCCTAACAGGTCACCTCCCTCCCACCCAGCCCACATTGCCCACAGCACTCTATCCCACTTTCTTCCAGGCACCTATCGGCATTTGGCTTGTTCTGTGCTCTGTACTGGTCGACAACTTTATTGGGTATCCACCCCACTGGAATAGTGAGCTCCCCATTCATCACTGCATCCCTCTGCCCAGAACAGGACCCTACACAGCAGGTGTTCAACTGAGCAATTTCTTGGCCCTGTCGTCCTGTGTAACAGGAGCACCTGCCCTGTGTACTAGGATGCCTACTAAGTCTGGGGGTCCAGTTCAAGGGGCTCACGTCTTCCCCTTGATTGCTGTAGACCACACCCCCATCTTCCCTTCTCAACCCAAACTGCCGTGAGGCTGGCTCAGACCTGCCAGAGTCCAGTCCTACCTTGAGAAAGTTTTGCAGCTCTTTTTGCACCAGGTCTTTGAATTCCTTCTGGTTCAGGGCATCTGGGTGCCCCAGCCTCACAGAGTAATGGTGGAAGGTGTTGATGATGGTTTCTATGCTGCTTTCCAGCTGAGACATTTCGAAAGCTGTCTTACACTCTGTCTGCATAATGGAGAAGTAAGGGTTGGGGCGCTTAGAAGAAAAGGCCGTCAAGCTTCTTTGGCACTTCCTACCAAGCACTCACAGAAACAGTGGGGGAAGCGCAAAATGAAAAGAAAGCACAGACCGCAACTTAGCTGGGAGATTACCTGTTACACACATGTACAAAATGATTTTTAGAATATCTAGAGAGTGCCAAAAAGCAAAGCATTTGAGGGCAGGAGGCCTCAGCAGAACACAACCTGAGAAAATGTGAAAGCAGCTTTAAGTGAGCAGGGCCAACCAAGGAGGGCTTCCAGGAGGAGGATTTGGAAGGAAGTTGGGTCAGGGAAGGAAAGAAGGAACTGGTGGGCAGGCTCCTGCCTGGGGAAGCTGGCAGCTCACTTACCAAAGCCGAGGAGCCACACAGAGTTTGCCAGAGCTGTGCAGGCTCCGCATTTATAGCAGCTCCTGGCTGGCACGCTTGGCCCTCTGGCCCTGTCTCCGGAAGATTGCCTCACAGGTGAGCCGTGTGGCAACGCTGCCAGGAAGGGGGCTGGGGCGGAGCAGGATGTGTTCACAGAGCGCCTTTTGCCTTTTTGTGAAATTCCCAGCCCTGGCCTGGAACTGGTTTTGGAGGAAGCTGGTTGTTTAGTTGATTTCCCTTCTGTCCTAATCCCCTGTTCTCCCTGAGTGAGCCTGCTGCTTCTCTGGCACCCCTCAGCACCCCATCCCCCTTGAGGTTGCAGTGGGCTGAGGACCTATGGGAGCCTGACCCTCTCGGCGCCCCCCCCCTCCGTGGGCAGTCTGCCCCTTCATTTTAGTGTAACAAGGATGAACCGAGCCCTCCCCATGCTTGCCTGGCTCTGTGGTACTTAGGAGGGTGAGGGGTTGGTGTGGGATTCTTAGATTCATAGGGTGGGAGTTGGGGTTAGAAGGATTCTCAGAGGTGGGCAACTCTTTTGCATTGTAGATGAGAAAACCGACACCCAGAGATGGACCTGAGCAAGGTCACATAGCTGGTTGCTGACTTGGCAGGATCTGGACCCAGCCGTTCTGGTTCCTGGTTACGGGTGATTTTGATGACACCTCCCTTTTGCATTCTGAGTGAGAGAGCCTCAGGGAGAATATGTTTCTAGCATCTCTCAGCATCATTTTCCTAAATCAGGTTTCAGGAACTTATAACTTGGGAGACAACTGTTTTTCCGTAGCCTCTTGGTGGGCAAGACATGTCCTTCCCCTGCTGCAAACCTCCAGCGGCTCCCCATTGCCTCTGCCTTAGCCCTGCACACAGAGCCCTCTGGGAATGGCCCTGCCTGGCTGGCCAGCTTCCCCTTCACTACTTCCCTGCCCACTGTGGGCACGCAGGGCCCACCTCCCACTTCCCACCTTGCACCGCAGGAGTGCCCTTCCCCCACTCCACAGTGACATTCTGCCCACCCCCACGGCTCAGTTCCAATGTGCTCTCTTCCAAGGAGATTGCTCTGTGAGTCCCCTTTGGAAACAGTCTCTGTTTTCCTGACAATGATTCTCTCACCACATCTGGCTCTCAACACTTGCTTTCCTGGAGTAAAATTGTTTACATATTTTGCCTCTGTCCAACAATTGGCTGTTCTCATTCATGTTCGTGTTCTCCTAGGCACACAGCACCAGGGACACCCTTGGATTTGCTGAATGATCCTTGCTGATGTCCTTGCCCGCATCCTTTCCCCTCAGCCCTGGAGGGCAGTATGGAGGACCCACCCTGGGCCTCCCTCTTGCTTGCTCCCCCCCATCAGGAAAGATGGTTCTCTTCTTCTGCCTCCACTGGTCCTTTCGTTCTGTCTCCGTGGAGCCTTCCTTTACTGCCCCAGCCCCTCCTGACTGCTTTGTCCCCTGATAGCCTGATGCAGTCTTTGTGTGTGCTAAGCATTGGCCCTGAGTGTGACCTGCCTTGCACTGCTGATATGTCCATGGAGTTCAGACTGGCTGTGTGACCTTAGGCTATTCACTTAACTTCTCTGTGCCCTGCTTTTCTTATCAATAAAATAGGATAATAACGGGACCTATCTTGAGGATTGCGACCATACGTGGAGAGTTGGGAAGAGGACAGTAAATAAGAGGTATTGTTACTAATAATCTTTTCATTCATTTGTGCAACAAGTATTTGTTGAGCACCTACCGAGTGGCAGATACTAATGCTAGACGCTGGGAGAACTTGATGAATGAGTCGCAATACACAGGGGAGACATAATCTTGTATCCTGTCTTCCAAATCACATTGCAAACTCTTGGTGGCTAAGGACAGGGCCTGGCACAGTGCCAAGCACACAGCAAGTTGTTAATAAATAAACAAATGAGTGCTTGCATGCATGAGTCACCGAGGAATGAATAAACGGTGCACACGCAGCTCAGGAATGCATGAGGCACATTCCCTGTTCAAGTCCGCCTTCCATTGTTTAAGCTAATGGAGGAAGCCCAGCCAGCAGCCCGCAGCTGCGTGTGCCCACGAAGCCTGTTCTGCAGTCCCTGCAGTGCCCCAGGTGCCCTTCCTGTGTGCTCCCATAGCGCCCTCTGCTGCCTCTGTCAAAGCACTTTTCACCCTGGACCAAAGATCTCCGACTCAGCCTTGCAGGAACCAGACTTGAAGCTGGCGGGGCATGAGAACATCAACAGCAGCAGTAGGGCAACTTGTGGCCACTCATATGGGGCCTCAGGGTTGGGGACACTGGGCAGTGGTGGCGACTATGGGGAATGACAACATTCCTAACCTGAAGCGACAGCCAGTCTCAGGCCAGGGCTGCCATATGGGAAAGTGGACCGGATGTTCTTGGACCTCCTGAAGGCCCAGGACATCTGAGTCTTTATGTGAAATCTCCTGTTGAATACAACTTGTCTATGACTTTAAAATAAAAATGAAAAAAGCATGGCAATGAAGCAGGGTGTGTGCTGAACAATCCTGACTGCTGGCGTGCGGCCCTCAGGCACCTCTGCTTTGCCATGGAGCTCTTGACTTCGGGTCGACTTTCTGACTCCTCCACGCCACTGTGGCTCCTCTGAGCAGCGATGCTGCCTGCTCACCTCTGGAGTCTTAGCACTGGGCAAGGGCTAGCTCGGAAGGCACTGGATGAACGCTGGTTGATTGCATAAATGCAGGAGTGCATGAATCAATGATGAAGTGAGTGAATGTGACACGAACATTGGTCTGTCGCCCTCTGCTCTGTGACCTTCTGCAGAGCCACTGACTGTCGTCATTTACGGATGGTTCAGAGTGAAAGTAAAATAGGGGGAGGGGAGAGAGAAGGCTCAGCAGTGGGTGGGAGTGAGCAGCCAGTCAGGGTTTCAAAACATACTTGGGGGGTCCGATGCTAACAGTGGGCCCCCATCTTAGAAGGCCACTGCAGGCCCCCAGGTTCCAGGCTAGCCCGGGACCAGGTATGGCCAGGGCTGAGTCATTCTGGTTGTGAGCAAAGCAGAAAGTTCCTGGTGTGATCAGTAGGTGCTTGACCCCCACCTGCCTCCTCACTGCCAGGCGAGGCCACAGGTTGGACTGAGGGATGGTGGGCTGGGGGTCTTCCCCTCTGGGGACTCATTTTCCAGGGAGAGTCAGAGCCTCCTGCTAGGGCGTGAAGTGGGTGGGCCAATTTTCCTGGCTCTGTACAACGACTTGAGGTTTTCGCTGGGAGAAAAGGGCATTTTTTTGGGTTAAAAAACAAATAAGCGTCTGGGCATGGTGGCTCATGCCTGTAACCCTAGCACTCCGGGAGGCTGAGGAGGGTGGATCACGAGGTCAGGAGTTCGAGACCATTCTGGCCAACATGGTGAAAACCCGTCTCTACTAAAGATACAAAAAATTAGCCAGGCGTGGTGGCGTGTACCTGTAATTCCAGCTACTCAGGAGGCAGAGGCAGGAGAATTACTTGAACCCAGGAAGCGAAGGTTGCAGTGAGCTGAGATCTCGCCATTGCGCTTCAGCCTGGGGGACAGGGTGAGCCTCCTTCTCAAAAACAAACAAGCAAACAAAAAACAGATAAGTAAACAAGCAGGCAGAGGGTCCTGCAGCTACCATCAAATCACTGTGCTCTTTCCCCGATGCCTGGGACTGGACCCACTGTGGGTCTGTCTATCCCTTTCCCGCAGCCCCTGCCACCCTGCCGTGGCCTCTCAGGGAGCCTTGCCCCTCCTGTGTTGTAATGGGGGTGTTACAGCGGCACACAGTGGGACTGAGCTGGGTTGCAGTCCTAGCTTTCCCAGACTTGCTGGTGCTCTTTAGAATCATTCTCCATGTGTGGGCCTCCATTTTCTTGTCCATTACATGAGGAGATTGGGACAGCTGGCCCTTTGGTCATTTCTAGCACAGATTCCAGGTTTTGATGGACCCTTGGTGGGCTCCCTGACCACCGTGAGCCTCGTGGCTCCCAGGCGCTCTCTCCTGGCTTACTTGCTCCACCTGCAGGTGAAGTCAGGTCCTTCTCCTCCTTGGGACTCTCTGCCTGAGACCCAGCCCCTCCCAGGCTGTGCCCAGCCTGCTGCCTGTTCCTTCACTCCCTCCCTTCCTCCTTGCTGGGAGTCCCAGGTACTCTTCCATGGAGATCTCTGGATATGGGTCTCCTAACCACAAGCCCCCTGACCTCCCCCTTTTCCCCAATGCTCATTCTAGATCCTAGTGCATTAGGATGACTTAGAGAAGTTATCCACAGGTAGCTTCAGACCATTGTCCAACTATGTTTGGACTCAGTCCACTCCAAGTTTTGGCCACCCCTGGCATCCTCGAGGCCTCCATTGGCCATCCTAAGGTCTCTGAGACCCCCTGCTGATGGCAGCCCTACTCCTGACCCCTGTGAGGCTGCTCCAGCATCCGAAGTGAGGCCCCTCCAGTGATCTGGCTTCTTATACCCTCGACCTAAGCTTCCCCAAGGCTGAATCCTTCCCCGATCTTCACCTTGGCTGCCTCTGCTCATCATCCTTCTAATTTCTCAGACATGCCACCTTCAAAATTGAGAAAGCTGTCATTCCCTTTTCTGTCCCCTGGCTTCTGTTGTTTCAGTCCTTTCTCCTCCCTGATCTCTTGGGAACCTGGCTTTTGGTCTCCCTGTGTCCCTAGGTTCCAGATCCCTGCAGGAATTCTTGGTGGGCATCTCAGCATCTGGCTGTTGGCATCCTCCACTCTCAGGACTCCCTTTGAAGTCCGCAGCCCTTTGTAAAGAATAAAGGGTTTTCACATTCAGCAGGCTTTATAATCACTGGCCTTGGGATCTGTCTCCCACACTAGATTATCAGTGTTCTCAGTTTACTCATCCTGGATGATAAGCTTTGCATATGAGCGACACCTGACAAATGTTTGCCCACTGAAATGAATGCCTGGCTTGGTTTGGCCAGAACGTATGCTTAGGAGATTGCTATTTCCTGTAATCAAGAAACTGTTGGTGGATAAAGCTAGTAAAAAAAAAAGGTGTGCAACACAGAAGCATGAAGGTAAGACAGGAAGTGGAGGGGAGTGATGGAGAAAGAAGTTGCTCAGAGACTCCTAGTGAGTGAAAGCTGGCTCCGGAGTTATCAGAGGGCGCATGCTGCCACCTTGTGGCCTCCGTGCATAAGGACAGGCTGTGGGATTCCTCTGGTTTTCAATCTTTCTGCCCTCCCGGCCCTTTTATATGTACTCCTAGAAGTCATTGAGTATCCCAAAGAGCTTTTGTGGATTATATGCATCAACATTTGCTACATTAAAAGTTTGAAAAATTAAAAATGATTTATTAACTCACTCAAAGTACCATTAATAAACACATTACATATTACCACCTTTTAAAAAAATTAAAAATAATTATATATATTTAAAAGCTAGTGGAAGAGTGTTATTATTTTTTAAACATTTTTGAAGACCTATTTACTGTATGTCTTCAGGGAAGACAGCTGGATTCTCACAGTTAGTTCTGCGTACAGGGTGCTGCTGTAAGCTGCTTTGGTTGAAGATTTGAAGAAAATCCAATCTCCCACAGGTAAGTAGTTGCGAAGGTGATGAATACACTAATAGCCTTTAAATGTACAATTGTGGATGTTCTTTTTTGATAGGACATCAAAACCCAACATGTGGAGGTTTCTCAAAGGATAGTTGCAACGTGGAGTCTGAGACCATATCATCGGTCTCTGTTACATTGGAATCAATTGGTCTGTCTTAAAATATTGGTTAACTGAGTTATGTACTCCATGTAAATGCTGACATCATTTATTACTCAATATACATACATATTTATATGTATCACACACATATAAATAAACCACATTTGTTAATATCACCACTGATCTCATCAGGAGAGTCTCCAAGTACCGGGAAGCAGTTGAACTCATCATCGTGGCAGACACAAATTTTCCAAAATTTGGATTTTTGCCTGAAAGCTCCAATTTTATTATGCTAACAAATTCTAGTTGTTTTCTTAGAAGTGAAAGGCTCCCTCTGTTAATTTTCAAGAAAATATATGCCACAGACCATAGACGAGCATCCAGAGCTTGGCTGTCGTTGGTTTTATGTTATTTGTTTGTGGCATTCCATGAAAAAAGCAGTTGGTTCAGCCCCCAGCTCGAGCACGCAAATGCTATTCCTTGAGAGTATCAGGTTGAGATTTAACAAAACGAGCAATTCTCACGGCTTCATCAGGAACATTCTTAAGCGGGCCTCCTTTTCTGGAAGGAATACACTGTGAAGAATGTGCTGGCTGCTGGTGCGGTCTGACGCGACACCTAGGCTCACGCCTGCAACAGTTTCACCTACTGTTGTTTTTGTGTCATCAGTGCAAATATCAGCACAGCGGGGAGAGTGAGGAGCCGGGAGTCTTGGTTTGTGGGCAGCTTCCTGTGGTGGGCAGTTCAGGGAATATTGCTCTGGAATTGGTTTTGATCTTATGAAACTCCCGAGGGGTCCTGGGGTCTCCCAGCTTTCCCTGGGCCACTCTTTGAGAACCACTGGCTTAGATGCTTGAAGGTATGCATTATTTGAAGCAGGTCTGTGTGCCTGCCTGCTTTTCCTTTTTGGTTTTTCTTTTGATACCTTTTAAAAGTGGGTCCTTTTAAGTCTTTCCTTCCTTCCTTCTTCTTTCTTTCTTTCTTCTTTCTTTCTTTCTTTCTTTCTTTCTTTCTTTCTTTTTTCCTTCCTTCCTTCCTTCCTTCCTTCATTTTTCTTTTCTTTTCTTTCCCCTCCCTCCCTCCCTCCCTGCTTCCTTCCCTCCCTCTCTCCCTCCTTCCTTCCTTCTTCTGGCAAATATTTATTGAGTTTCTAACATGTGTCAGCACTATACCAGACACTATGCTAAACCCCAAGACTACAGAATAAAGTATAATTTACCCCTCTGTGAAGTTCACAGCTGTGGGGGGAGTGGGGAGTTTAAGACAGAAGACAAAAAAAAAAAAATCTAAATATAAACAATGACACTTATTAAAGGCAGGTAAAGAGACAGACTAGGAACTGATCTTGAAGAGGTTATAATTACAATTCATATGGGTGCTAGAATCGAGAAGAGAGACTCTGAAGCTCTACCGGCCCCGACTAGTCATGGAGCCCTTTTCAAAGATGCCAGGCTGAAGTGGAGCCTCTGGGCGCAGGTGGGGAGTGAGGCTGGGCACTGGGGAAGGTCCTGGGATGGTGGAAGTGGAGGCACAGAGCACTGGGAGCCTGCCATGGTAGCGTGGAGTGAGATGGGGCTGGGGGCCAGATCACTCAGAACTGGGAGGTCCTCTTGGGATTCTGAGTTCACAGAACCAGAGAGGGACAACCCACACTGCTCTTCCTCCCTCCTGATGCCCTTGCCCAGAACGCCCTCAGCCTGTTAGTCCTCAAGACCCTGGATGGGACAGAGAATCTGCGGTCCCCTTAGGCAGCCACCACCCAATCTTTCCTTAGGCTTCCCATCCCCAAGCCTCTCCAAAAAAGGGAATCGAATCTTCTCAAGTCCTTGGTGCCCCAGACCCAGGCCCAGAAACCTTCTCATTTTGAGAGCCATTCTACTCAGTCAGGATGGGCGGCCAGCTGGAGGCATGGAGAAATAGCACACTGCCAAGCTGGGGAACTGCCAGGGTCCCTGCAGTGCTGGTCCCAGGCTCCAGTTCTTGGTCTCCTTCACCTCTGTCTCTGGCTCTGTCCCACGTTCACCCTCCACCCAGGACAGAGCTCAGCAGCCTCTGCTCATCACACAGTTCCAGCCTGGGTCTGGGTGCATGACTGGGGTGAATGACAGGTAGACCTGGTGCACACTCAAGGGGCCCCTCCCAGAGAGTGCTCTTGGGGAGCCCGGGCTGAGAGTGGGGCTGCAGTTCACTGAGAGCAACTGTCCTGGATTCAGGGCACTTCCACAGTGTCTAGGGAGGCTGCCCCACCCCCTGGGACAGGAGAGGCTCTGCAGGTCCCCGCGGAGCCTGCACCCTTCCGCGTTCTTGGAAAAGAAGTGTCACACGGAGTTTCCTCTGTGAAGACTCAACGGCTGGAAGCCCAGGTTGCAGACTGTGGAATGAGATTAGGTGACAACTGAACATGGCGAGGAGCTGGAGATTCTCGGTCTGTGGAAGGCTTTCTCTGGTGGGTGGCAGCTTGATGCCAACAGTGGGGCATGGCAGGCGGGAGGATGATGGACAAACATGTAGGCTACAGGGAGCTGCTTCCTGAGATTGTACCTCTCATTTTCTCTCTGTGCATCCTGACCCTGCTGGTGACCCCGGTAAAAGGGAGTGTTGTCGAGTGACTTCAATCCGATCTTCAGACTCCTGGACCAGATCTTCTCAGACAGGAAGTTTCTAGATGTTGCAGACACAACCCTCAGGCCCTTCAGGCTTTCCCAGGTTGGGGCCAAGGATGAGCTCTCTGGAGTGTTGGGCAATCTTGCCCTTTCCCAGGGAGGAGCTGCCTGGGCTTATTCACGGGGCGGGTCCCCAGGTGCTCTCAGTGTGTTCCCACTTTAGTTTCTCCAGGTGCTGTACACGGAGCTGGCTTGGAGCCTCAGCCCTCTGCCTTCCTCTTCTCTTCCATCTTTTGTTAGGGATCCTGGGCTCTCCTCTTCTCTCTGAGAAGCCAGAGCCCAAGTGTTCCATTCCCAGGGAGGGACTGCCCTTAGGGCCAGGGAGAGTGAAGGCCGGAAGAGGCACCAGCTGGAGAAGGAGGGCAGGGCCTGGAAGGGAAGGAGCTGCTGGCCAATCAGGGGTGAGCCGACTGCACCCTGACCTGCTGGGCTGGGACAGCACAGGACCCACCGTATCTGTGAGTTGAGTGTGTGTTTCTTCTTCAGAAGCCCTCTTCCAGCAAGGGGACTGGAATCCACCAGAGAGAGTGTTAGGACTGCATTTCCTCTGCCCTAGAACTAGGAACCCCTCCTGCTCCTATATCCCCTCACCTGGCATATTCCCAACAGAGAAGGAGTTCTCTGCATCGGACCCATCCACATGAGTCTGGATTTCTTGGCTGTACTATTCTTGGATCTTACTTCCTTTGTCTGTAAAAGTGGGGGTTAACAGTCTCACACTACAGTGTGAGGACTAATTGAGTGAGACTGCATGTGCAGTGTGTACCCAGGCCTTGCACACAGTGGGCGCGTGATGAAGTTGAGTTGCCTGGGTAACGATAGGACAGGGATGCCGAGCACCTGCTCTGTGCCGGGGGCCCTGAGAAGCCTGAGCCAGGTGCTGGCCCTCAGGAGGCCACAGGATGGTGGAGGAGGCAGACGGCGCCCACTGCAGTCGGGGTGGGGGATGCTTTGCAGATTGAGCATGGTAGAGTTCACGACTGTCAGCGTCTCTCTCTCTTAGGCTGCTGTCCACACCCTCCAGCTTGGTGTCCTGGGACCACATGGGGATGATGCCGTGGCTTCTTGTCTTCTCTGCTCTGGGTCTCCAGGCCTGGGGTAAGTTTTGTTTTCCTGGACAGAAGAGCAACTGGGAAGGATCATCCTAAAGGCTCATAATAGAATTTAAAAAGTAGCTACTTTCCATCTGAGCCTGAGGAGTTCAAGGCTGCAGTGAGCCAAGATCATGCCACTGCCCTCCAGACTGGGCGACAGATTGAGAACTTGTCTCCAAGAAACAAAACAACACAACAAAACAAAACAACAAAAATCTGCTCTCTCTTGTTCCGGTGCGGTGGCTCGCGCCTGTAATCCCAGCACTTTGGGAGGCCAGGGCGGGCGGATCACAAGGTCAGGAGATTGACCTGTGATCCTGGCCGACATGGTGAAACCCCATCTATACTAAAAATACAAAAATTAGAGGTGGTGGCACACACCTGTAGTCCCAGCTACTCAGGAGGCTGAGGCGGGAGAATCGCTTGAACCCGGGAGGTGGAGGTTGCAGTGAGCCGAGATTGCGTCACTGCACTCCAGCCTGGTGACAGAGACTCTGTCTCAAAAACAAAACAATCAAACAAAAACAAAACAAAAACCAAAAAATAAAAAAAACAAAAAACAAGCAACATACAACCTACTCTGTCTTAAGGAGAAAGAATAGATTGTACGTGGAGCCTATAGACCTGGACTCAGGTTCTTTCTCTGCCTCTAGGAATGATTTTAAACAAGCGATTCAGCTCTACAAGCCTTCATTTTCCCACCTGGAAACTGAGAGAGTGATGACTTCTCTGTGAGGGCTAAATGAGATAATGCACCTGAAAGTAGAGCAATTGGGCAGTAAAAGCAAATAAACAGGAGCAAGGATGACATTTGTATTATCATGACGTCAATCAGAGTCCAACCTATGGCCTGGGTTTGTGCTTGTCAATAAGAGAAAGCCACCCTGTGGGCAAAGGTGTCAATCAACAGACCCTGCCCCTCCCCCATGGGCCTTCACACAGGGGAGTGGGCATAGCACATGGCCCCAAAATCAATTCTGGGGGAACTGGTCTGAGCCATGCAGGTAATTCTAACCCTTTCTCCACATACGCTTCCCCGTTGCTTTGGTAAAATGCACACAGGAGAGGACTTTGTGGTTTTGAAGTATCTGAATACATTTCCAGGTTGTTTTTTGGCCAATTGTGTGTGTAGATACAGCTCACAAGAAAAGGATGACATTTCCAACTCCCCGCTTGTCCCAGGGAATTGCCCAGAGTTGGTGTGGGAGGAAACTATACCACCTGCTGCTGTTAAAAGTGGTCCTCTGGTCAGTCCAGAGGGATTTCTTAGAGGGGCTCTTGGATTTGAGGAGGGGCAGTGGAGAGGGGTGGCTGTTTCTGTCCAGAGTTGGTGCCACCATGATGGAGGCATTGGAGCTCTCCACCATGATGGAGGCATTGGAGCTCTCCACCATGATGGAGGCATTGGAGCTCTCCACCATGATGGAGGCATTGGAGCTCTCCACCATGATGGAGCTTTTGGAGCTCTCCACCATGATGGAGGCATTGGAGCTCTCCACCATGATGGAGGCATTGGAGCTCTCCACCATGATGGAGGCATTGGAGCTCTCCACCATGATGGAGGCATTGGAGCTCTCCACCATGATGGAGCTTTTGGAGCTCTCCACCATGATGGAGGCATTGGAGCTCTCCACCATGATGGAGGTATTGGAGCTCTCTGATGTAAAATGGGCTATTGCTTTGTAGGTGATTCCTTCTGGAACAAAACACAAGAGAAACAGCTCTCAGAGGGGCTTCAGTACCTATTTGGCAACATCTCCCAGCTTACTGAAAAAGGTAAACTGAATCTGGATAGTAAGGGGATTTGGGGACCAGCTGGGGTTTTTCATGTGACTGGAAATGTTTCTGAGGTCTGCAGAGCCACATGCAACTGGGAGAGGCAAACGGGGTTGAGGTGCTGAGAGCAGAACCTGTAAACCACCTGCACGAATTGTCCTAGGTCCTTGGGATGGAAGGATGGTACTGGAGGGCTAGAAACCCAGGAAGGGGGGAAACAGCCTCTGCAGGCAGGGACCCCTGTGGAGGGAGACCCAAACCTTGTCCTCAGGGAGTCCTCAGACTGAGTGGGAGACACAGCCCTTGCCTGGAGGAGAAGATGCAGTCCCCTCAGGGAGCATTCAGAGCCCAGAGAGCACACACTGAGTGCTGAGGTGACACCAAGCCAGGCTGCTCAGGGCTTTCCCCAGGGATAAGGAGGTGATGCTTCCTGAAGGGTAGGACCTGGACAACCACAGGGGAGGAGCTGAGTAGGGGATGTTCTAAGATGGGGGAACAAAGCATTAGGCTCCCTGGCCAGGTGCAGAGTCTGTGTTGGGGGTGAGTGCTGGAGAGCTGAGGATGCAGAGGTGAGCAGAGCAGGGTGCACCTGTCTACTGAAGGCTTCCTCCTCCAGCTTTCCTAATACCATGGGGCCAACACAGCTGATGCCTGCATGTGCAGCTTGGTGGGCTACTGTGGCAGAGATGGGGCAGGTGCACTGAGTGACGTCCCCATGGCTTCCCCACAGATGTCTCTGCCATGGTCTCTCGCAAGGCATGGGGGGCAGAAGCTGTTGGCTGCAGTACTCAGCTGACCACACCAGTGAATGTCCTAGTTATACACCACGTCCCTGGACTGGAGTGTCACGACCAGAGAGTCTGCAGCCAGAGACTGCGGGAACTGCAGTCCCATCATGTCCACAATAACAGTGGGTGCGACGTGGCTTACAAGTAAGAGGCTGGACCTGGGTCCCAAGGCACGTGGTCAATGCTGCTTCCCCGGGATGCTTCTCCTGTCCCTTATCATCCCCTTTCCTCATTTTCTGGGTTGTGGTCTTGTATGTTTTCTAATGAATAAAATATTTGAAATCCCCATGAAATTCCAACTGCGTTGGAATTTTCTGTGAGGTTCCTGTCTCTGAGAGCTCCCAGAAGGAAGCAAGGAAGGTTAAGCAATAACTGTATTCTCTACCCTCCTCCAACCCTGGCTTGTACAGCACAACACAGATTACAAAAGACTTCCTCTTATTTGAGGGCTTTTGCTCCCCCAACTGGTAGGCAGGTGTCACCATCTCTTTGCCCTGGGAGAGGGGCCCAAGGGAGGGAGGCTGATTAATCTGAGGTCACAGAGCTGTGAGCTCATGGAGCCTAACTGGCTCTCTTTATCCCTGGTGTGCTCCTGCACACCACACGCATGGGTTCCAGCCTCGGTGAGGCAACTGTCCATCTGTTGCTGTAATGATCACTCTAGTAGGTGCTACTGGTGCCCACAGCACATGCCCTTGGCCCACCTCTGACTTTGGCTAGCTGTGGACAGTTCCTGAGTGTGGTGATGGCTTCCTGACTCACCCAGTGCCCAGTGCCTCTCTCTGCTTTCCTATTTCAGGCATTTCCCCAGCCCTTGATGACAAAAGGGAGTGAATGCCTTCCTGGGGGACAGGCCTTGGGGTGTAGCCTCCTCAACCCCAGCCATTCTGAGGGGCAGTTCTAAAGTGCATGTACACAGCTCCTGGGAAGGCCACAGGGTGGGATGTAGCCCCAGATGGCCACTGTGAGCCAGTCCAATTTCGCAGACTTTGCTGGGTTTCTTCCTTCTGTCTCAGTCTCCTGGCTCCTCACTCGCTTCCAGGATCCTATAAGAATTAAAGAAAGAGGAAAGAAACATGAAACATGGCTTGAAAGTCGAAGACAAGTTTGTTTTAGAGAAAACAAATCTGAGAGAGGCTTCTGATGAAGTTAGGTCAGAGCCCACTCTCCTACAGACTAAGAGTTTTTAAGGATTTAGGGTGGGAGAGTTTATCAGAGGCTTGGATTGCTTCTGTGTGTCTTTGTTGTGCTTTCTGGGAGGGAGAATTGTATGTCTGTTCCCACACATCTTTCTGCAGCTGCAGGCATATTCCCTGAGTCTGCTTTTAGCTTTCTTAACTTAGTGCACCTGAAGGGAAAGGAATGTGCTTATTAAGGTCTGCTGTTTTACTGGGGCCCATTGTATGAGGGTAAAGTTTGGCAGTTACCCAAGAGACTTTCCCCCCACCTCCCTCTGTGCCCAAGCTGTCTTATCTGTGTCTTACTTCTGCTCTTTCTGGCTGCTTGCTGTTGGAAGTGATTTCCTTGAGACGCATGAGGCTAGAAAGGGAGCTGGAACTTAAGAGTGGTGGCGTTTGTCTGAGATAACAGTGCTCCTGCTCTGTCAGATCCCTTTGCAAATCAATGGCCTGCATCCTCATCCTAGTCTCAGGAGCTACTTCTTGGGAGGTCTATGTAGCAACCGTCCTATAACTCCCTACTTAACAGGGAGAAATCAAATGAACAGCTCTGCAGGGATCAGACAGGCAGCACACACTTTGGAGGAGGTGGGAGAGCCACGTTTAAGGAAGTGTGGAAGACAGAAGAGCCTTCCACTGTGTGGTCAGGTCAGTGTTAGTTACTGTGGAACCTCGAGGACCTCTTCTCCTGAGCATGTAGAATGATTTATGGTAAAACTGCAGCCTCTGAAAAGGGAAGGAGGTAGGGACTGTGAGAGTGGGTCCTTCTGAATTCTAAGGGCTAGTAAGAATGACTTGGTCTTTCCTATGTCTTGGAAGAGTCCATGCAAATTCCTTTTTGTGAACATGTCTTCAGCCCTTTTCCGTTTTGGGACTGGGTAAATGGTGTCCTCTCTCAGGAATGTCCTACGGTGCCAGCCATGTAACTGGTGTTATCTTGCTCCGTAGCTTCCTGGTTGGGGACGATGGCAGGGTGTATGAAGGTGTTGGCTGGAGCATCCAAGGTGTGCACACCCAGGGCTACAACAACATCTCCCTGGGCTTTGCCTTCTTCGGCACTAAGAAAGGTAATGGTTATCTCAGCTGACCTTCTCCAAAGAGTTCTCTGATCCTTTGCCTCAGGTGCTACTTCATGGGAAGTAGCTGTCTGCTACTCTGCTGACTTCTCATCCTTCTCTGAAGATGCACTCTTTCTTGGAATTCTCTTCTTTGATTTCCAGGAAACAACATTGTGAAGGGTCTCCTCCTACTGCCCTGGCTTCCTTCTCAACCCCTGTAAACAGGCTTGTCTTCCTCCAGCCTTCTCTTCAGTGGCGATGCTATCATTTGTCTCTCTGCAAGCTTGTCTGGGCTCAGCTCTCACCTCTATGTCAATGACTATCACATCTTCCTCTCAGCTCTGACCATTCTGTGGCTCCTGGCTCCTGTGGGCCATGCTTTCCAATTTCCTGCCAGGCACCTCCTCCTTCCATCTGTTACTCCTAGATTTTCTATATAGTTCTTAAAAAAAAATTCTGAGTCCCCTAACTCTCTTCCACTTCTTTCTGGACTATTGCTCCAAGGCCCCTTGCCATATGCATCCTAACATATGTGCTCCAGGACCATTCCTTTCAATCTGTGCACCCTTTCCTGTTAACTGAGATCTTGCATACCTAGTTTCTCATTTTCCTCTCTCAGTATCCTTTGAGATAGTCCAGGTAGATTTCATGACTCTCGTTGTACAGCGGTGCAGCCTGGGATTCAGAGAGTTCAGTGACCCCAAGTGACACAGCTAGAAGGAGAAGAATCAGAACATGGTCCGTGTCTTCTATCTCCAGCCCTGGGTGGTTTCCCCAGCATTCCAGAGGACTCCGTGTTTATCTCGTTTCTGCTTTTGTTTTCATGAACTACTCATTTCCATTTGTTGTTAGCTTGGGATCCTGAGCATGTGACTTCTTGGAGCCTCAAGTTCCTCTTCGTGAATAATGCAGCTGATAATAGCATCTCTCAGAGGTTTGTGCTGAGGATGAAATGAGTTATTGGAGGCAAAGAGCCTGGCACATGCCTGGAGGGGCCCCTTCTGATGGGAAAGCCTGGCCATGAAGGGGCCCCTTCTGATGGGTGCTGCTGAACTTGGTGCTGCTGCTGAGCTCCTTCATGGAGAGAGCGGGTGAAGCCTTGGCAGGTATTTGGGAAAGGACTTCATCATGAGCCACTGAGAGATCTTTCCAGGCAGATCCTTAATTCTCAGCCTAATCAACTGGGGGCATAACCTGTTCCCTTTTCTTCCTCTCTATCAGCTGTGCAGGGGCTGGCAGGGCATCTCCTCCTCCCACAAAAGACCCCCTGAAACTCAGGCCAGGTGCAGGTTTCTCACAGATTTCTCTCTTCCAGGCTATAGTCCCAGCCCTGCTGCCCAGTTGGCCATGGAAAATCTAATCTCCTACGCTGTCCAGAAGGGCCACCTGTCATCCAGTTACGTTCAGCCACTTCTTGTGAAAGGCGAGAACTGCCTGGCCCCTCGACAGAAGGAGAGCCTGAAGAAAGGTAAGACCTTCAACCCTACAGGCCCCCCACCAGGCTCACCCCCAGTAACTCCCAGACACCATTGGGAGCCACCTTTTTTTCAGCAGGGCTCACTCGATTCCTTCTGGTAGGCAACTGGTCACCCAACTCTCTGAAATCTTGGGGCTGGTAAATCTTGAGAGGAAGCTCCAGGCCACCTCTTTATCCCCCAGAGTGCTCATATGAAAGAGCCATAGCATTATGCCTGGTGTCATATATGCACACTCCTTTCTTCCATCACTTGACAAGCATTTACTGAGCACCTGCTAGACCCTGAGGATACACCAAGGAAAGAAACACAAAGTCCCTGCCCTCAAGAAGTTTCAATCTAGAGGACAGAGAAAGACAATGAGCAAATAAATAACTATTTGGTATGTAATATGGAGAAAAGTGTGAGAGAGGAAAAAATGGAAAGGGACTGGATACATTTATACGCATATTTATACATTCATACGTTTACACATGACCACACACACACTAACACACATTTCTGAATACAAAAACCAGAGCAACACGAATGGACTGAAGCGTTGCAGAAAACCTAGACCACCACTTACACTGACTTTAAAGAAAGAGTTTAATAGCATTCAGATAATAAAAAGTAGACAGTATTTTGGGTTTAACAAGCAGCAACACCAAAAACAGTAAATTTAACAAGCACCTTTAGCCTTTTCTTGGACTTAATCAAGAGCGAGGAAATTTCATCTGTTATATTAAAGTCTTGAGTAAATGTGATCTCTAGTGCCATCTGCGAATATAAATGATCACCTACATTGACAGAGAGTTTCGTGGATTACAAATGACTTAAAGACATATTCTTAGAATAAAATGTCCAGGTCCCGTTGTGGGACACCATCTGCTCTCAAGTCCCACTGTTGGGGTCAGGGTGGGGGACCCAGAGGGGGTTTGGGACATTGAGGGTCCTGAGCATTGAGTCAGCCTACAGTGGGGAAGTGGCTGGCATGGATGGGGGAGATGAACCCTCTGTGCTTTCTTGTCCCATCTCAGCTTGCCCCAGCATTGTCCCACGGTCTGCATGGGGGGCCAGGGAGACCCACTGCCCCAGGATGACCCTCCCAGCGAAATATGGCATCATTATCCACACTGCTGGCAGGACCTGCAACATTTCTGAAGAGTGCCGCCTGCTGGTCCGGGACATCCAGTCTCTCTACATAGACAGGCTCAAGTCATGCGACATTGGGTATAAGTAAGTGTGTCTGGGTACCGTGGGCTTCTCTTCCCTTGGGGACAGATACTGAACCTTTGAAAGGAAGGGGAAAGGGAAGTAATATTTGCTGGGTACTGGCCATAGGAGAGGCGCTGTGTGGCTAACCAAATGGATTCATCACATGACCCTGCATGCTCTTTCTTAGGAGACAGCCACAGGGGCAGTCACTTGCCCAAACAAGAGGTGTACCCATTAAAGGTAGTAAACTGGCATGATGGATGCCAAAAAAGTCTCTGGAGGAAGCAGTATGCCTGCAAGATTGCGGCACCTGCAGAAAAGATAATCAAAAGATGTGTTTTGTTTGTGTAGCCACCGCCTGCTACTCAGAGGCTGGGGCTCTGCTGCTCACTTTGTCCGCAGCCTGGAGTGGTCCCCTCTCATGTTAGACTCATAATGCTTCTCTGCCTCTAGAAACCACCAACTTCCTTGGGAAGAATGTACTTCCTGTCTGAAGGCAGAGGAGAGACCGGATACTATCTTTTGATTTCTCTAATGCTAAGGTCTGTGATTCTTTTTTTTTTTTTTTTGAGATGGAGTCTTTCTCTGTCACCCAGCAGGCTGGAGTTCAGTGGTGTGATATCAGCTCACCGCAAACTCCGCCTCCTGGATTTAGGCGATTCTCCTGCCTCAGCCTCCCAAGTAGCTGGGACTAGAGGGTCTGTGATTCTTTAATAAGAAACACATTGACCTAAGTGGAAGAGTAAACATTTGATTTTTTTCCTAATTAAGAATTATTTTGAAGGGTCTCAAAATTCTGACACATTTTTGATCAAAAAGACACATTTTTGATCAAGATGCTTCCATGAAAAAGTTCTGATTTTAAAAATGGCCAAACAAAATGAGTAGAAGTTTCTCGAAGGATGTTTTCAGAGCTTGCAGATAAGACATCTGGGGTTAGACCCCATATAACGTCCCATCAGGAGAAATCACACTAAATTTTAAGTCTCAGGAAAAGCGACTCTAGCCCATCTGGCATATTCATCCCCATTAACAGAAGGAGCCCCTGACTCTAGGGGCATTTATGGCTTAGTGAGTGGAGCTGAATTTCAGTTTCCACTGTTCCTATGCCAGACCCCTTTGGGCAGAATGCAGTCTGCACAGCAGTGTGCAGTGGTCCCGTCTTAGATGAATTTACCCTCGCTTGGTACATGATTCTGGGCTGAGTGTCTCTCCCCTCTCTGTCCCCATTTTAGTAGCCCCCTTTACAAGATAGAAGAAAGCTTTTCCTCCAACATCTAGCATGTACCAGAACCTACAAGCGCTTTGCTAGGTCCTGCCACACAGGATTATTTGCAGCATTGCTGACTTTAATGGGAGTAGATACCTGAAAATTGACTGTGATTTTGGAAAGCCAAAACTGCAAAGAGGTGGAGGCTGAGGGGAGGTCCTTTCACGTCTCAGAGGGCAGTTGCCTGTCCCTTGACTTGGACCTTCTATTGTATCCTCTCCTATTATAGCATCATGATGGTGTCACTTTTTTTCCCCATGAGGTGGTCTATAGTCAAGATGACACAATCCCTGCCTCACAGACTATAATTCACTGAACATGTGACTGAATGTGTACTCTGTGTGGCTCAAGCCTATCCTCTGGGGATGCCATCAGACGCCTCAAATGTGGTTCTTCCCTGCATGGAACCAGTGCTTTAAATTCAAGCAAATAAGTTCCAGCAGGGTAGTTTAAACATTATGATAGGGGACGCATGGAGAGTAGACAGGAGGCTGAGGATGCCAGGAAGTGGGAGTGAAAGAAGCCCTCCCTGTGGGGCTCCAGATTAGCTGGGTGAGTAGGAGGAAAAAGCAGGAAGAGTGATTCAGGAAGAGGGAAAGGACCTCTGTGGAAAGGACTGAATTCCAGCCTGAAAAAGGTGCCTTTGGGGAGCTGAGAGAAGTTCATCAGGATAAATGTAAATGCCAAAGACGGTTGTGGGAGAGCTGAGGCTGGCGAGGCAGACAGGGTCCATGTCTGAAGGATCCTGTAACTTAAGCTGGGGTGTGTGTACTCAGTGCTCAGGGACTGAAGACAGGGTTTGACGTAGTCAGTTCCGTATTTTAGAAAGACCAGTCTGGCTATCCTTTAGGAATAGATTGGATGGGAAAGGGTAGAACTGGAGGCAGTGAGATCTGAGGACTGTGCAGCAATCCAGGCGAGATGGAGTGGTGACATCCTATGGTGGTCGTAGAGGCCACAGAGAGAGGTGGAGGAATTTGAGAGGTCAGTGGAGGTTAATGGTTAGTGATCAGGGTGCAGGGCAGATCAGGGATTGTAGCTGGCAGACACTGTTGACAAACTGGGTTAAGGAGTGGATGAAGTGGATGGGCTGATGCTTGTATTCCTGGCTGGGGCCAGTGGGTGGGTGGGTGACTGTGTTTTTCACCAAGATGGGGATCCCAGAAAGGGGAACAGGTAAGGAAGAAGATGGTGCCAGTGGTGAACATGCAGACTTTCATGGATGGCAACTGAAGCCAAGGAAGTGGATGGGTGAGTCCTGTGTCGAGTAAGGGGAGAAAGGGGCTCACTTAGGATAGCAACCTGAGGAACCCCACATTTAAGGAAAGGGTGCAGGTTTTGAGGTGTGGGGGGAGAGCAGCTAGAGAAGAAAGCCAAGAGAAGGTGGTGTGATGGAAGCTAAGGGAAGAGAATGTTTCGAGAAGTCAGGAGGGGTGGCAGAGTCACATGTACAGAGGTCAGGTCAGGTCAGGAAAGATCGGGGAAGTTAATGTACTTGTTGGTAAGGAAATCCTGGGTCGCCCTGGGGGAACACGTTTTCTTAGTGAGAAGGAGAAAAGGCCTAGGGATTGCGCTGTCATTCTCCTCTTTCTTCATGGACTGTGAGTGACTTGGGGGCAGCAGTGGTGTGCTGGAGCTGAACAGGCTTGTACCAGCTCATGAGAGCTGATTGTTAGAGATTCTGGAATTTTCAGATCTGGTTGTTAAATTGCTGATCACCTGAAATTTGCTACAGTGAGAGGTTTACACCACAGCAATCAGTAAATGCTATAAACTGGGATTCTCTCTCCTCACCCTGTCTCCCTCATTCCCCCGAGTTTACCGACACTCCACTGGCAAGGACTCGGTCTTGTTTCTGTAACCCAGTGCTTAGAATCCAATAGATTATCAAAATCTGAAGGAGTAAAGACATGAATAAATTAATACATGAAAGAGAGAAACAATTCCAGAGTTTCACACTGGTTTCCATCTCCCCTTGTGGTCCTCTAGCTTCCTTGTGGGCCAGGATGGCGCCATTTATGAAGGGGTGGGCTGGAATGTCCAAGGCTTCTCCACCCCTGGCTATGATGACATCGCCCTGGGCATCACCTTCATGGGCACATTCACAGGTAGGTGGATGCTTTGGGCAGTAGGGTCATTGCATGGTATTTGAAAGAGAGCATCTGACATGGAAGACAAAGTCTCAGTGTCAAGTGTCATTTTAGTGCCTGCATATGCTTGATTGACCCAGCTTCCAATCCAACATTTGACTCAGCTCAGTGTGATCGGAGGTGACCCCCAGACATAATACTCACATTTACCTCCTTTACATCCAGCCAAATATCTCTTCCTTCCAATATGTAAGGAACATGCAAAGTAAGGGGAAAAGATCTTTGCGCATATTTTTAGCTCATCTTGGTCAGCAGATGCAGCCTCTCTTGGTTACCATGACACAAGGTAGAGACATTTTGCCTTATATGCCAAAACCACAATAAGCCCCAGTCTTTACCTTGAGAATTGTCATGACTCAGAGCTCTATTTTACTTTTTATTTTAATTTTTATAGATTTAGGGGCTACAAATGCATTGCATTAACATGGATATATTATATAGCAGTGAAGTCTGGGCTTTCAGTCTACCCATCACCTGAATAGTGTACATGGTACCCATTAAATGATGTCTTGTCCCTAATCCTGCTCTCACTCTCCCACCTTTTGAAGTCTCTGATGTCTATTAATGTACTTTATGTACCAATGTGTACCCATTGTTTAGCTTTCACTTATAATTGAGAACGTGTAGTTTTTCATTTTCTGTTTCGGAGTCATTTCACTTAGGGTAATGGCCTCTATTTCCACTCATATTGCTGTAAAAGACATGATTTCATTTTTTAAACTGCTTGAGATGGAGTCTCGCTCTGTTGCCCAGGCTGGAATGCAATGGTGTGGTTTCACTGCAACCTCTGCCTCCTGGGTTCAAGCGATTCTACTGCCTCAGCCTCCCAAGGAGCTGGGACTACAGGGGTGTGCCAGCTACTTGGGAGGGGGGGTTTCACTATGTTGGCGAGGCTGGTCTTGAACTCCTGTAGAGACAGGGTTTCACTATGTTGGCCAAGCTGGTCTTGAACTCCTGCCTCCTGATCTACCTGCCTTGGCCTCGCCAAGTGCTGGATTACAGGTGTGAGCCACCACGCCTAGCCGTGATTTCATTTTTGATGGCTGAACAGTATTCCACAATGTGTACACACACACCACACACACACACACACACACACACACACACACACACACACACACACACACACTTTATTCAGTCATCCACTGATGGATATTGAGGTTGATTCCATGTTTTTGTTATTGCGAATAGTGTTGAGATAAACATATGAGTGCAAATGTCTTGTTGATATAATGATTTCTTTTTCTTTGGGGAGATACTCAGTATTCGGATTCCCGGATCACATGGCTGTTTTATTTTTAGTTCTTTGGTAGATCTCCACAGAGGTTGGATTAATTTACATTCTCATCAGTAGTGTGGAAGCATTGTCTTTTCTCTGCATCCTCAGCAACATCTGTTATTTTTTGACTCTTTAATAATAGTCAATCTGACTGAAGGAAGGTAGCATCTCACTGTGATTTTGATTTGCATTTCTCTGATGATTAGTAAGCTTGAACATTTTTTCATGGTTTTTGGCTGCTAGTATTTCTTCTTTTGAAAAATGTCTGTTCATGTCCTTTGCTCACTTTTTAATGAGCTGATTTTTTTCCTTAAGTTGTTTGAGTTCCTTGTAGATCCTGGATATTAGCTCTTTGTCAGATGCATAGTTTGCAAACATTTTCTTCCATTCTGTAGGCTGTTTACTCTGTTGATTATTTCTTTTGCTGTGCGGAAACATTTTAATTTAATTAAGTCCCATTTGTCTATTTTTGTTTTTGTTGCATTCGCTTTTGAGGACTTAGTCATAAATCCTTTGCCAATTTCCAGAAGAGTTTTTTTCTAGATTGTCTTCTAAGATTTTTATAGTTTGAAATCTTACATTTAAGACTTTAGTCCATCTTGAGTTAATGTTTGCATACAGTTAGATATGTGGGTCTAGTTTCATTCTTCTGCATGTGACTATCCAATTTCCTCAGCACTATTTACTCAATAGGGTGTCATTTCCCTGGTGTATACATTTGTCAGCTTCGTCAAAGATCAGTTGAATGTAGCTATGTGACTTTATTTCTGGGTTCTCTCTTCTGTTCCATTCACCTATGTGTCTCTGTTTATACCAGTGCCGTGCTGATTTGTTACTATAGTCTTGTAGTATAATTTGAAGTCAGGTAATATAATACCTCCAGCTTTATTCTTTTCACTTACAATTGCTTTGGCTATTTGGGTTCTTTCTTAGTTCTATATGAATTATAGAATAGTTTTTAAAAATTCTGTGAAAAATGATGTTGGTAATTTGACAAGAACTGTGTTGACTCTGTAGATTGCTTTGGGCAGTATGGTCATTTTAATGACATAGATCCTTCAAATCCATGAGCATGGGATGTCCTTTCATTTGTTTGTGTCATCTACAATTTCATCAGTATTTTTTAGTTCTTCTTATAGAACTCTTTCACTTCCTTGGTTAAATGTATTCTAAAATGTATCTATTTATCTATATCTATATCTACACAGACACACACACACATACACACACCTATATATAACATATATATGTATATATATACACACACACACATACATATACACACCCATATATATAACATATATATACATATATATGTATGTGTGTGTGTATATATATACATATATATATATGGGTGTGTATATGTATATAATTTCTCCTCTGTCTCATTTGATTGCACATGGAGAATAAGGAGTAGCATGCAGTGTGTATGTTACAGAATATAATGGACAGATTTTGGCAAAAGGACCAAAGAGAGCAGTAGGGTGGTCAGGTCTCCCTGATGGTATCATAAATCAGAAAAGGGAGCCTCTGGGAGGCATGGGGTGGGGGTTCTAGGAGGAAAGGGAACCACAGCAGACCTAGGATAGTGAGAAGGGTTGCAGGTAGCAAAAACCAACCAAAGAAAACAGATCCAGAGAAAGAGAGAGGGAAGAAAAAAAAGAAGGAACAAGAGAAAAAAAGGAAGATGAGAGAGAGGTTAGAATGAGGCTATTGTTTTTTGACGAGCTGAACTCTCTAATTTCATTACAGATGCTTACACAGTAGATCATTATTTGGAACAGACTCTAGTATGCCATATAGATATGCCATATACTATATATATAAAGAACATATGTAGGTGTGTGTATCTATAGGTGTACATATCTATATCTATTTATAGCTATTGTATATGGGATGGAGTTCTTGATTTTGTTCTTAGCTCGATTGTTACTGGTGTATAGAAATACTACTGATTTTGGTATATCAATTTTGTATCCTGAAACTTTACTGAAGTCGTTTATTAAATCTTGGAGTGTTTTGGAAGAATTTTGAGGGTTTTCTATGCACTAGATTATATCATCAATGAACAGAGATGATTTGACTTTCTTTTTTTCAATTTGGGTACCTTTTATTGATCTCTTTTGCCAGATCGTTTTATTCAGTACTATTGAATAGGAGTGGTGAAAGTGGGCATCCTGGCCTTTTTTCCAGTTCTTAGGGGGAATGTTTTCAACCTTTCCCCGTTCAGTGTGATGCTGGTTGTGATTTTGTCGTATATGGCTTTATTATTCTGAGGTATGTTCTTTTGATGCCTAGTTTGTTGAGGTTTTTTTTTTTATCATAAAGTAATGTTGGATTTAACTGAATGCTTTTTCTGCATTGAAACTATTATATAGATTTGTTTTAATTCTGTTTATGTGGTGAGTCACATTTACCTATTTGCATATGTTGAACCATCTCTGCTTCCCAGGAAGAAAGCCCACTTGATTCTGTGAATTAACTTTTTGATGTGCTGTTGGATTTAGTTTGCTAGTTTTTTGTTGTGAATTTTTTGCATCTTTGTTCATCAGGGATATTAGCCTGTAGTTTTTGTTGTTGTTGTTGTGTCCTTACCTGGCTTTGGTATTAGTGTGGCTTTGTAGATGATTTAGGGAGGATTCCCTTCTCCTCAATTTTTGGGAACAATTTTGGTAGGATTGGTATTCTTCCTTTTACATCTCATAGAATTGGGCTGTGGTCCTGGGCTTTTTGTTGTTGGGAGATTCTTTTTTAAATTACTGATTCGGTTAATTGTTATTGGTCTATTCATGATTTCTGATTCTTCCAGGTACAATCATGGTATGTTGTATGTTTCCAGGAATTTATGCATTTTTTCTAGGTTTTTTAGTTCGTGTGCATAGAGAGCTCATAGTAATCTCTGACAATCTTTTGTTATTTCTGTGGAATCAACTGTAATGCTACTTTATCATTTTTGATTGTGGGTATTCTAAACTTACGTCTTTTTTCCTTCGTTAGTGTAGCTGGTGGACTGTGAGTTCAGTTATCTTTTCAAATAACCAACTTTTAATTTCATTGATCCTTTTCAGTTTTTATATTTGGTCTCTACCATTTAGCTCTGCTGTGATCTTTGTTATTTCTTCTGCTTGCCTTGGGTTTTGTTGGTGCTTGCTTTTCTATTTTTTTGAGGCATGATGTTACATTGTTAATTTGAGCTCTTTCTATCTTTCTGATACAGGCGTTTGATGCTGTAACATTCTATCTTATCACTGTTTTTTTGGTTGTATCCCAGAGGTTTGGGTATTTTGTGTCTCTATTTTCATTCATTTAAAAAATCTTAATTTTGGCCTTAATTTTATCATTGACCCAATGATCATTCAGGAACAGGTTGTTTAATTTCCATGTATTTGTATAATTTTGAGAGTTCCTCTTGATATCGATTTCTAGTTTTCTTCTTCTGTGGTCCAACAAGATACTTAATATAATTTTAATTTAAAAAAAAAGTAAGGTCCAGGCACAGTGGCTCACACCTGTAATCCCAGCACTTCGGGAGGCCAAGGCAGGCAGATCATGAGGTTAGGAGTTCAAGACCATCCTGGCCAATGTGGTGAAACCCCGTCTCTACTAAAAATACAAAAAAATTAGCTGGGAGTGGTGGTGAGCACCTGTAGTCCCAGCTACTCGGGAGGCTGAGGCAGGAGAATCACTTGAACCTGGGAGGCAGAGGTTGTGGTAAGCCGGGATTGTGCCACTGCACTCCAAACTGACAACATAGTGAGACTCTATCTCAAAAAAAAAAACCAAAAAAAAAAACCAAAAACGAGTAAATGAGACAATGTCTACGGGGCACTTTTTCTTGTCTCCTCTGGAGAAGAAAGAAAACAAATGTACTGAGCCTTGTTTTGTGGCCTAGCATATGGGCTATTTTTGAGAATGTTCTGTGTGCAGAAGAGATGAATATATATTCTGCCATTTTTGGGCAGAAAGTTCTGTAAATGTCTGCTAGGTCTATTTGGTCTAGAGTCCAATTTAAGTCTAGAGTTTCTTTGTTGATTTTCTGCCTTGCTGATCTGTTAGTGCTGTCAGTGGGGTGTTGAAGCTCCCCACTATTATTGTATTGCTATTCATCTCTTTTCTTAGGTCTAGCAGTATTTGTTTTATGAATGTGGGTGCTCTGGTGTTGGATACATATATATTTAGGATTGTTATATCTTCTTATTGAATTGGTCCCTTTGTCATTACGTAATGAACTTCCCTATCTTTTTTCTTTAACTGTTTTGACTTAAAGTCTGTTTTACTTGATATACTGTAGCAACTCCTGCTCCTCTTTTGGTTTCCATTTGCATGGAATATCTTTCTCCACTCTTTGATTTTGAGCCTGTAAATGTTTTTACTGGTTAATGGGTTTCTTGTAAACAGCATATGGTTGGATTTTGTGTTTTTATTTATTTAGTCAGCCCATATTTTTTAAGTAAAGCATTTAGCTCATTTATGTTTCAGGTTAATATTGATATGTGAGGCTTTATCCCTGTCCTAATGTTAATGGTTACCCAGTTGCTTTGCAGTTTTAATTGAGTAATTGCTTTATAAGTCCTGTGAGTTTTATACTTTCATATGTTTTTATGATAGTGTGTATTGCCCTTTAGTTTCCATGTGTAGAACTTTTTAAAGCATTTCTTATAGGACCGGCCTAGTGGTGTCAAATTCCCTTAGCATTTGCTTGTTTAGGAAACACTTTATTTCTCCTTAAAAATACGGAATGCTTCACAAGTGTGCATGCCATCCTACTTCAGGGGCCATGCTAATCTCTGTAGGATTCCAATTTTAATGTATGTCCTGCCAAAGTGAGAACAACTCAAAGCTCTTCATCAGTTTGTTTAGGCTCAACGGCCTTTCATGGAACCTCTGAAAAGATGAGGCCATGTGACTGAGGCTGATTCAGTGACATGGCCCATACTAAAATGGGCATTGGGTCAGGGATGGGGTTAACCAGGGCAGGGCCTTGATACTGGGCTGAGCATTGAGCTGGAGCTGGACATGTAAAGGGTACAGGCAGCACATGTGTGATTAAATCACATTTCTCAACCTCAGTGCAATTGACTTTTTGACTCAGATAATTCGTTGTCATGGGGCTGTCCTGTCCTAGGATGTTTAGCAGTATTCCTGGCTTATACCAACTAGCATTCCCCTGCCTCCTAGTTTTCACAACTAAAAACGTCTCATGACATTGCCAAATGTCCCCTGGAGGGCTGAATTGCACCCTTATAGACAACTATCAGGCTAAACTCTTGCAGTGGAGAAAAGCTCTATACATGCCCAGAGGAATATATTATCCCAGGCTTGGCTCTTTTGATTCAGGAAAACTTTGGCACTAAGAAATTTTAAGTCTTGACCTTATTCTTTTATCTGTCCCTAGGGAGGCTGCCAACAGTGGGATATACTAGCTTGGTGATGAGAGTGGGTTCTGGGAATATGTTCTACCTTGCAGGGTACCCTGTAATCTGTGAGCCATGGGCTGCTGTGTTTTGCAGGTACACCACCAAATGCTGCAGCACTAGAGGCAGCCCAAGACCTGATCCAGTGTGCCATGGTCAAGGGGTACCTGACTCCCAACTACCTGCTGGTGGCCCACAGTGATGTAGCCAGAACCTTGTCTCCTGGACAGGCTTTGTACAACATCGTCAGCACCTGGCCTCATTTCAAACACTGAAGAAGCCCCAGGTCCTTCTGAGACTGCTCCCTCCCCTGTCAGGTCTCTCCTGTCCTCACCATCTGCCTTGGCTCAACACCTTGTGTCCTCCACCCCTGCCACCCTGTTCTGTGCCTCCTTTTTCAGATTTGAAGGATCATGTTCTCTCCTTCCAACACCCTCCAAGGGCCCCCAGACCTCATAGCTGGACATTCACAGTCCTCTGACTCTGAGTCAGACTTCCTCTCTCCTTATCGTCCTCTCCCTGGGAACCCGACTCCTGAGCCAGGTGAGGCAATGGGCTGGTTCTTGTTGCATTTCTCTCTCTCTCTCTTTCTCTAACTGTCTCTCTCACTTTTGCTCTCCATGACCCTCTGCCTTGTGAGCCTTCCCCTGGTATCTGCCTGGCAGCCCCCAGTCTCCACCCCTCACCTCTCAACCATAATTCAGGTCAATGTGACCACCCTTCTTTGCTTACACATAAACTTGTATATATTTGGATGCAGCCCTCATTTAAGGGCTGTCATTATTTATAGATGTCTCTATTCTTGCTCCTGGGTTGTGAGTTTCTCCACAGGGGAGGACCTGTCTTTTATTCATCTCTATGTCCTCAGTTTCTCAGCAGTGTCTGAAATTTAATAAGTTCTACTGATGTTTACTAGATAAACAGATGAATAAATGAATGAAGACATCCAAATTTATGTTCACCTTGCCAATTTGCTACATCATCCCTATTTGGAGGAGGCTCTCTGGACAGTGCCCCCATCCCACCAGCATTTTCTGTGCTTCTGTTCCCTCCCAGTCCAAGAGCCATGAGATCTGTATGGTACCATCATCTGTGTAAGAGGAAGCAAAGAGAAACAACAGGGTGTCTGATGGACGTGAGAACCTCAAATAACCAAGATATTTTTACCCCATTTCTTCATCACTTAGCATCCAAAATCAAGAGACCTTTTTGCATACTCCAGTGGTGTACAAACACAAAGGGTTCTGTGATCAGATCTGCAGGAACTGGAACAGTCTGGGTCCTATGCCTCTCAAAACCAGCCAGCCAAAGTTCCCTTCTAGAACAAAGCCCCACAGGGGAGAACTGCTGGAAACAGAATCTAGTTCAGTCCAGTCATAAGAGATTAAAAAAAAAGAAGAAAGAAAAAGCTCAGATGAAAGCGTGGAAAGGCAGTGGAGCAAGAAGTTCTCTGAATATAAGGCACCATATTGTTGAACACTTACTTGAAAAAAAACAATAGAAGGCATCCAGAGTGACTGAATTAAAAAAAGATATTCAAAACCATATCTTTAAAGTTGAGGAAAGCTAATATCATATAAAATAAACAGCAGAAAATAATTGAGGTTCAAATCCGCATAAAGTTGTTATAAGATAAAAATAGAATCAGGAGCAGAATCAGGAAAATGAAAGCATTACATAAAGACATGCTTATGGGTGATAACTATAAACTACAATTGCAAACTGAGCTAAAATAATTAGAAAAATAGTATGAAAGAACAATTAATGGAAAGTACAAAAACTCAGAAATGAGGTAATGAGCTCAGAAGAGAATAATAAAGGAAACATCCATTTCGGAAATAACCAGTTTTAAAAAAAAGATGTTAAAAGTGGATATACGTAATGGATAACACCTTCAAAGAAAAATAAGATAAAATAAAGGAAAATTCTAAAAATAAAAAAGAAATTAAAAAGTAAGATGAAAAGAATTAGAAAGAAAGTGATAAATATATGATAGGCAAAGAAGATACATATAATTGGAGTCCCTAAAGAACAAAACTAAAGTAGAGGAATTGAACAAATTTTAAAAACTACTATTCTAGAAACACCTCCTGAAATAAAAAAAAGTTTTGAAATTTTGTTTATAAGGGGGCACACTTCATACAAGAAAAGATGGACTTAAAATGATGAATGCAAACATATGGCCTAGTTGAACTATGGATTTTAAAGAACTGTTTCTTTAGTGGAAAATATCTTTCGGGCATTCATGAAAAAACCAAAAACAAATTACTAACGAGAGAAAAATATCATTAGACTTATTGACAGCAACATTTTGGGCTAGGAGAAAATATAAGAACACATTTTAAAAATAAGACAAAATGTGATAATGTGATCCAAGGATTTTATGTTCAACTAAATTGATTTTTAGTACAAAGGTCACAGATAGACTCTCGTGAACATGGAAGAACTCTGTAAATATTGTGCCCATGAGCCCCTTTGTAGGAATCTGCAAGAGAATGTCTTTAAAAATGACCAAAATAAGTGGAGAGACACTGGAATTATGACTGGTGGTAAGCATTTAATATGTATTTACTTGTAGAATTAAGACTAAATGAAGGTTATTAGAAAGATAGTATTTGCCGGGAACAGTGGCTCATCATGTCTGTAATCTGAACACTTTGGGAGGATGAGGCGGATGGATCACCTGGGTCAGGAGTTTGAGACCAGCCTGACCAAAATGGTGAAACCCTGTCTCTACTAAAAATACATAAAATTAGCTGGGTTTGGTGGCGTGTGCCTGTAATTTCAACTACTTGAGAGGCTGAGGCAGGAGAATCCCCTGAATCCGGGGGGTGGAAGTTGCAGTGAGTGGAGGTCGCGCCATTGTACTACAAGCTGGGCAACAAGAGTGAAACTTCATCTCAAAGAAAGAAAAAAAAAGAAAGTTAGTATTGTATGTAAAGGTTATGAGCTCTGACAATGTAGTATAAGGTAGAACTGTAAAACAGTGGGGAGAGAATAAGGAGAGCATCTGCAAATTAATTTTTTTTTTTTAAATTTGAGACAGAGTTTCCCTCTTGTTACCCAGGCTGGAGTGCAATGGCGCGATCTCGGCTCACCGCAACCTCCGACTCCTGAGTTCAGGCAATTCTCCTGCCTCAGCCTCCTGAGTAACTGGGATTACAGGCATGCGCCACCATGCCCAGCTAATTTTTTGTATTTTTAGTGGAGACGGGGTTTCACCATGTTGACCACGATGGTCTCGGTCTCTTGACCTCGTGATCCACCCGCCTCGGCCTCCCAAAGTGCTTGGATTACAGGCGTGAACCACTGCGCCCGTACGTGCAAATTAATTTTTAAAACCATTTTAGTAATCATACTGTATGCTAATATTGATATTGTTATTGGAAGAAAGTTTAGTGTGAGATGTTGAATCAAACAAATGAGTAATTATGTGATATTCTAATTCCATCATCCCAGTGTTTTTGAGAGTAGGATTCTCGGTGTGGGAAAAGGAGACACAGACTAACACAGCAGAGGCTAAGTACAGCACTGTGTCCCTGGATGTGAATTTAAAAATGTATGAACATATGAGGTGTTTAATCTCAAATAACTTTATCTTTGCTCACTGAATCGGCCTAGAAAACCGATCAACATGGCAGCAATAAGCATTCATAGCACCCAATGTGACCTTAAATACAATTTCCCAGTAAAAGAAATCAACAGTTCTTAGAGGAATGGCTGATTTCAGGTTGGGGTGGGAAATATATAAGTTAAAGCATTTTATCTTATCAAATAGCAATTAAGCTATCAAATATTTCTCATATCGGGTCAAAAGGACTTGGGAAATTTCTACCGTCTAATGGGAAAATTCTAATGTCTAATGGCTAATGAGACAGTATGAGCATCAATAGCAGCAATAGCTGCGATGGGTCTGAGCTTGTTAAGTTTAAATCGACACATTCATAATAATACAAAAAAAGAAAACCTGAATTGTCACTGCTAATCCAATTTTTCCACGTCCACTGAATCCAATTTTTTTAATTTTAAAACTTGTAAAAAAAAAGGGAAAGAGGATGTACCTATGCCGCCTTTCCTCTACAAAGAATACAATTGAATAATCAAATAGTGGGGAACCTCTCCTAATAGATATACTCTAATAAATAAATGAAAAAGTAATGGTAGAAATGGAATATCACCACCTTGCAAGCCCTAATAAAAAATCTAGATATTAATGACTGTTAACATCACACACACAGCTCCCAACTGATGAGAGGTCTGTGGACTCAGGAACCATGCTTGTCTTTTTCACCACTGTTTATCTAGCTGCTGTATGTAGTAGTTGCTCACTAAATATAAGCTAAGTGGATGAATGTTGAATCCCAAGAATCCAGGGAATATACTCCTTAATTTCTGATATTGTTTTCATAGCTGATCCAAAGTGTTGGCTTGATGGGATCTGTGTCTCCTAAGATCCCACATCCTCATCATGGGAACTGCTGTTGGCTGGGGGCTAGGAAGTCGGGAGTGAGAGGATGGAAGAGTCAAAAGGAAACATATCCAGGATCAAACCCAATTACAGCAGACACACAGAGTCAACATGTAGCCCATGAGAGGGAGCTTAACAACGTTTATTGAGTCTTTTCTGTGTGCACAGAGCCTATGAGGATTCATGAACCTTCATAACAATTCTGTGGACTAGGTATTGTCATTTCTGCTTGACAGCTGAGGAAGCAGGTTCAGAGAGGTTAATAAGTTTGTCTAATGTCATATAACTTATGGGTGTCAGTGACAAGATGGGCTTGCATCTAGGTATATCTGACTTCAAAATCTTTTGGGAATTATACCATGGGAAGCTTTCTTTGGATCTCAAGTTCCTTCTTAAATGCCGTGACCAGAAGTAAACAGAATACTCCAAGGGTTCCCAGTCTCAGGCAGAACTCAGGGGAGCCATTATTTCTCTCACTACAGTATATACTAATTATATATGGTGATACATATGAAAATGCTTTGTGAATGATATACTTCTCAGTTGATAGTTATAATAATTATAAGGCCTAGGAGTGCATGACCTATTTTGATTTCTGTGCCCTCCTGATCGCTCTCATTCATTTGGCAGATGGGGAAAACGATCAGGCCTTCTAGAAATAAGTTATAGAAATCCACATTTCAACCATCGTGCGTAATCAGACCCAGTTTTTAAAAGAGTGTAGTGTGTCCTGATTTAGTGGCATCATGGTTTTTCAGCCATGAAATATTTCAAAAATCTCAATTTTGTCATCTGCTTTGGGCTCACTGTGCACTCGATGCTTTTGTGTCATCTGAAAATATGAGTGGCATGTCTTCTCTGCCTTCTTGTATCCTTCATCAACATTCTTCCCATAGGGAATTCAGACCATACTTGTTAGATGATGTGTACCAGGTACTACTGCATAATTGCCCCACCTAACATTTATAAAACCCCATGAAGTAGGTACTATATTGTCTGTTTGCAGATGAAGGCACCAAGAGGTGCCCAAGAATTAACCTGGCAGAGAGAGTACAGGCTGGCTTGGAACCAGGCCCCTGACTCTGGGTTCACTGTCAACTTCCCTTCATCATAGCTCCCAGCAATTTCATTGTAGCTTGTGTGATTTCACCAGTGACCTCCTCCAGGGGCACCTGGTTCATCAAGCACACACCTTTCCTTTCATTTGTCAGTTACAAACATAATGACACAATGAGAAGTACTACCATGCAGCCCATTTGGTTTTATAATGCTGTAGAGAGAAGGAACAATGGCTGAAATGTGTGTGTGTATACATATTGCCACTAGTATCCAACATTTTCAGTCAGCCCATATGGTTTATTCAATCCACTTTTTTACTTAAGCAAGTGTTTCATTTAATTCTGTCCTTAATTTTTCCTTTATCTGTTTGAGTAAAAAAAATATATATATGGGGCACTAGTTCACATTTCAAGTGTGAAGTTTC